CAGCAGTTACATTAAGGACAGGGAAAGCCACCAGGCTGGAGGTGGGGCCTGGTACATTCTGCACTTCTGTAGGGCGTTTCAGCTGAGCAATTAAACCAATTTACAGGGAAGACTGCTCACCACCCCCCTGAGACCAGGGCCAGGGAGGCTGTTTGACAGATGAGGAATCTGAGATTCCATCAGGCTTATACATCTTAGTGTGCTTAACTAAGGCATTAAAATGTTTCTGGCAGGGGAAATACCATGTCCACAATGGTGGCAGGGGAAGTACCCTGACAGAGGTAATACAATTAAAATGGCACTGTGCAGTGGAGGGTTTCACCCTTGCCTGCTTGCGGACAGGACTCCCAACGAGGACCTTCCCACTGGCCGGCTTCCACGCTGACTTTATAGAAATGAGAGACTCCTCCCTAGCTGGCTCCTGCGGCCATATGCCTGAGGGCAAGCGAAACTCGGGGACATCCGAACCCCAAGCCTTTGGGCTTGGGTCTGCACATGGGATGCCTGCCAAAGAATGTGGAAATAGCTGAAGCCCCAGGCGGGGGTGGAGGATGCTTGCTGGCAGCAGAGCCACATATAGTTCTTGAATGACTCATGGATTGGGAATTGATTTGGCTGATTTGATTTTGGGGACATAAAATTATCCTTAAAAAAAAAAAAAATTTAAGTGCTTTTAAATGAGGAGATAAGATGGCCTTGTGATGAAGGCACTAAGGGGGATTTGGGAGACCTGGGCTCTTTGCCAGGCTTCCCAACAGAACAAAGTGGTCAGTGCAGAGCACCAGGCTAACTGGGCTACTCTGCTTTCAGTACCCAGGCTTGCTCAGTAGCCTCCGCACAGCACAGCATTGAGCCTTGTAGACATACCCTCAGAGACTCATTATGGGTGTTTTGTCTGAGGAAGTGGTATGAAATGAAACTTCGAGCTGTTATTTTGCCATCGAGAGATTCCGTTCTTAAATGATATACGACCATTAGAATGTACTTTGTATTCCATAGGACGTTTTCTTCACTATTGATCTTTCCTGAGTCTTTTCTTTTTCTCCACTCCTCCCATAGACTCTGCTGCTGATGGTGCCACTATTTCATGGAAAGAAAACTTTGACTTTGCATACACAGAACTGCATGAGATTGGGAGGTAACAGTGACACTGCTCATGTTAGTAATGAAGAATAATATTGCTGAAAGCTTTTCATCCAGAGAATCTTTAGGTTCCTTTTTATAATTGCTTAACAAAGTGCAGTGTTGCATCTTGTTACTTTTTTTTTTTTAATGCTGTTCCTTTCATAGTTGCATCAATGCTAAACACCTTATTTTCATGATCGGTTTTAGAATATGGTGTGAGGGCTGTGACTTGGAAAGGAAGATTTGAATGTGGGTTTCTGGACTGTGACTGTCACTGGGAGTGTTAGTTATCTTCTGTTCGAACTCCTCGCTAATCTGCAGTCTGACCTGTGCTTCTGATGTCAGGGAAATCTGGCAGACCTTGGAATATTTGATCCTCAGAGCCCAGTTCACCAAAGCACTTAAACATATAATTGAAGTTAAATTGGATGAAAAAAAACTGATTGAACTGGAGAACTGTAGGGAGGGAGAGAAGGGCCAAGCCATGTGGGTCTGGTAGCTCAGCCCCGTGTCTGAGCTCCCACAGCCTCCAAGTGCACATCTCCCACTGCTTCCACACAGATCTCCCCGCATCCTGGCCAGCAGGCAGTGGCCTCAATCCCTCCCTTCCTGCAGATACCCTCCTGCGGATGGATGTGGCTGCCCCAGAAAGTAGAGTGCAGGCAGAATGGTGCCCGGGCCTTGCAACCCATGCTGTCACGGAAGAGGTGGGCCAGCAAGAGTGATGGAGGAGGAGAAGGGAAGCCTGCTGCTCCTCATCCAGGGGCAGAGGAGCTCCCTGCAGCACCGGCTTGGCTGTCCCCAGGCAGCAGGCTGCCCAGTGGGCCCAGCAGTGGCTTTCAACTCTCCCTGCCATGTTAGGAATCTGCTGCAATGCAGTGTCTCTCTTCAAGCTCCAGGTCTCAGAGTCCTGCGATCAACCAAGGAGCTTGGCTTTCAAGATGTGGTGTGCTTCTAGGAGTGGGGGTACAGATCTGAGCTGGAGCCACCCCTTTCACAGGTGCAGAGCCAGAAGCCAAACTACACATCAGGGTGCAGGGGGCACCAAAATGCAAGTTTGCCCAGGGAGCCATTTTCCCTAAGGCCAGCTCTGGCTGTTAGCACTTCATGGTGGTTTCATACATATGAATAGGAACCTAATAGTATGACTATCTTCTCTGTCTCATGTAGTAGAGAGCAGTGATTCTGGAGTTAAAGGGCTGGCTCTACAGGGGGTAAGTAGTATAGAGCTTGGAAAGATGACACGTTTGCACCCGTGTAATCAGCCCTTATGCTAATGTGAACAAGGAGTGTGCAGATGATGTAATCCTTTACACCAGTATAACTTATTCAAATCCAGTGTAGAATTATGCCAGGAAAAATCAAAGGTAAAACTACACCAGTAAAAAATATACCAGTGTTTGTCATCTGTCCCCTTAAAATCATACCAGTGTTTAAAAATTATACCATCCATCCCCACATACCCATGTGCGGAAGGCAAATAGGCCATTACCTCCTCCTTCAGCATCTAGTTGCGAGGCATTATAGTAAAGCCCGCTGCAGGTGGCTACCCCAGCACAGTTGCTTGTCTTCCGCTCTGGATCCTGGTATAATTTGCTGCCCTGTACCAAAACAGTAAATATAAGCGTATAGTCGGTCGAAGCTATGTCTGTATGCAGTACATGGGTTCATCGGTAGGTTTTCTAGGTACAGATAAGAGAACTTCACCCTTCTTTTTCTGCTGTGATACTATTAGGGACAGCTTTGGACAGTGAGCTCACTTGCATTGCACAAGTGATTCCCTTCTGCTTCTTGTTCTTGATCACTTGTTCTTATTCATGAAACAGTGAGATAAAATTATTAACGATTTGTTAATTAAGAGGAGGGTGCTTTTAGTGCTCTGAAAAATTACATTGTCCTTATCAAAGTCATTTCTGGGGGGAACTTGCTCTCAAAAAAATTAAAGCTGCAGCAAAACGAACCCATGGGAGATCATTAGCCAATAGCACGTGGGCTGCACAACACAAAATGACACCATTTGTTATGTCTGTTTGCTGATCCCCAAAGAATCCCCACTCCCGGGATAAAGAGCACAAGTTCTTTGTAGGAAAAGGTTCTGAGCAACTAGACAAATCTGATTCCTTATAAAATATTAATACATTCACTCAAACAACACTTTGAAAACCACTGTTGCTGCCCTGAAAAATAAATATGATTTATTCATGGGTCCTCTTCATTATCCTGTTTTCCCAGGGGTCGATTCGCCGTAGTAAAGAAATGTGTTCACAAAGCCACCCGGAAAGATGTTGCCGTGAAATTCATTAGCAAAAAAATGAAAAAGAAAGAGCAGGCGGCACATGAAGCGGCTTTGCTACAGCACTTACAGCACCCGCAGTACATCACCATCCATGATACCTATGAGTCACCCACTTCCTATATCTTAGTTTTGGAACTGTAAGTATTGGGCCTCAATAGAGGCTCTAGCTAAAATCCTACCTCTGCTGAAGTCATTGGCAAGACACCCGTGGTTTTCAAAAGGGTCAGGATTTTCACCCTCTGACTTCCATTGATTGGGGTGTTGCGTAGAACGGCCACTTCACCCTGGCTCTCATTTGTGGATTAAAGAGAAATGAGAGTCTTTGGGACAAACCCACTCTGGTGTAACTCAGTGGAAGCCAGTGGAATTAAATCAGCAAGTAATGTGGCTTGCTGAACTATATCAGAGATTAGTTTAACCTCTTTGATACTTCAGTTCAAATATGGATCAGTCGGGAAAGGGTAACTTACCTGGTAGGGGAGATCCCATGATCCTCAGAGCTGAGCCAGTGTAATTATAGGGTGAGGCCTGCCCCTTGCACTCTGGGCAGGCTGACCTCTGTGAGCTTCCCCAAATGCGGGAAACTCAACTGCACAATGTTGTGGTAATGGAGGATTGCGTTCTTGCTTTGCCTGTGTCTTGCTCTTCAGGCTTTTGGCATCTGAACTCCAAAGCCCTGGGCTTGTGGCTTGCATGTTGAATTCCTGCCGTGGATTTGGGGTGTATCTGAAGCCCCAGACTGATAGGTCTGGGAGGGTGGATAGCACCACGCAAACTCAAATGATCAAGCTCTGCTCAGTTGACATTTGAAATTTGAATATCGGGCTTTGCCCAATGGGATTCAGAACCGATTTGGCCCTTGAAACGAGATTAAAAAAAAAACCATGTATACGCATAAGCCAGTTTTTATCCAAATAAATGCCAATGCAAGATTGTGTGGTTGGGGCCGCAGGGGGTAAATACAGTGCAGTGACTGCCATTGGCCTGCGACAACACTATAGCCGCTGCAATGAAAAATGCTTTGGAGTTAGGGAACATCTCATTAAATTCACCTGCGCTCTTCGTGTGTTTGTTTATACAAATAAAGCGGGCTGGGTCGAGATCCGTCAACAAGCAAATTTCCCATGGAACATACTTCCAATTGAGAATGTCAGCATTTTTTCTCCATTACCCAATCAGCTCTATAAATAAGTAAGCAAGTCTTAGTAAGTGAATGCATTGTTTTCAGAGGAAGTGCCTCTGTGTGTTGAACCAGTCCTTGAGCAAATTTCAGTATCTTGCAGCTGTGTTCAGTATTTTGGACTTTTCAAGGACAGGTGATAACTGAAGATTAAGCACGGTGTAGTTTTTGTGGCCTGCTGTATCTTTAGATATACACACCAACCTTTTCATTTTACATGCCTCCATTTTTAGGTCACTGAGTTTCCTTTGCCACTATGATTTCAAATATTAGCCATCCCCAGGTGCTTCATATAGATCTTTCATGTCAGAGTTTTGATTTGTTTTTAGGATGGACGATGGCCGTCTCTTGGATTATCTCATGAATCACGATGAGCTGATGGAGGAGAAAGTAGCTTTCTACATCAGAGATACAATGGAGGCACTACAATATCTTCACAATTGCAGAGTGGCTCATTTAGACGTAAAGGTAGGAAGAAAACAGAATTAAACTGTTATTTGCTAGTTAAGCATAGACAGCTCCAGGAGGAGAAAGCTCGGAGTGGAAACAGCCTGTGTCCTCAAGAAATTATAGGCTATTTGACAAGCATTCCAGTTCAAGACATATAAGGTAGGAGGTTCAAGACATATAAGGTAGGAGGTAGACAGAAGAAGGTTTATTGCTGGAGTTAAGGGTTTCTTTCTTTCTTCCAATAGAAAAGACAGTTTCTCTATTTTATGGATTTACGGTCAGAGGAAGAGGCACGTTTTAAGGAGGAATCTGATGAAAAAATAGAGCAAATGCCTT